CTTTAACCAAACAATAGGATGCCAATGAGTCACATTAGACCAGGTGCTTTTAGCCTCAGGCCCATTTTCTGTTACTGCTCATCTAATCAACTCCTTAGCCCACAACCATGCGGGTATGTCGCTGGGAGGTCCAAGGGTCTTCTACCTGTGCCTTTGGCACCCAGGCTGCCCAGGCCCTTCCTGGGGGAGGCATGCGGCCCAGCTATAGGGACCTGTGCAGGTAAAAAAAAAAAAACTATCCTCCAGGATGGGGTGGTCCTGGAGCCCATTGAGCTTCCCTTCCCCCCCAGGAAGCCGGTGTGTTCAGCTGTATATACCTGCGCTGGATAGCATCCCATTTTTTAGACAGGAGAAAGAAAATCTTTGCAGCTTGCTTGCCACCAGCAGGTACCTCCTGCCCCAGGAGTTCCTCTCTGAGTTGCCACCTGATCCTCCTCACCCCTGCATCAAGCTCCAAGCAGGGAACTATGGAATTTCCCTTTGGACCCAATTCCAGAGCACCCCTCCCTGGGGAGTGAGTGGCTTCCTGGTCCCAGCAGAGAGCAGCTGCCCAAAGCTGGAAGGTTCCAGGCTAGCCCATGCCAGGTGACCCACTCAGGCCATCCTCTGCTGCTTTCCTAGGTTCATTAGCAGGGATCTGGGTGGAAATGACTAAACTGATGAAGATGATGCCACTGTGCTCGTCCCAAGATGTGACCTTGAGGGTCAGCTAAATATTTGCAAGAGTTCTAGCTTCGGATTGGCTTCAGCCCTTGCTAGCTGTTGGGCCTCGGACGAGAGATGAATCTTGAAGGCTTTCTGCTTTCTTCTGCTCCGGGGCCAGGAGGGGTGACAGACACCCCCACCCAAGAGCCGGCTGCTCGCCATGTGCCTTGTGAATCCTGTGGGTCCACGTGGGCCAGGAAGGGGGTAGACTCCCAGTTCCCTGGCTGTGTGAACAACACTGGGAATGGGCCTTGCAGAACCTAACAGTCTGTGCTCTCCTCTTCTCCATAGCACCTGTGTGCAAAATGGCTGGCTTGACCAGGACATGCTGCCCTCTGCTTGGGATCCTATATGTGACCCAGCATGCCTTCCAGCTCCATGATGCCCCCATTTATTGTCCATTAATCCCTGTGTCAAGCTCAGCTGACCTTGTTTGTTCCTAAGAAGGCTGTAGCCCTAACTAGACTCCTGTCCCACACACACAGCCACAATCCCACCACCACCACCACTTGCTTCATTTGTTCCGACGTAGCAGCATTCCAGCATCGCCCCCCCCCCCATGTGATTCTAAACATCCTTCTATCTGGTGATAGTTGTATCGATTGGCCATGGAGATAGCCTGCCTTAGGAACAGGTTGTCATGGGAAGAATTAGAAAGCAGGTATTGGACTAGCCACACAGCCTCCCTGTGTCGTCATTTCAGGCCGGCCTTGCTCAGTTGGTGTCTATACAGTGCTTCCTGCCTAGCACTCGCCCCTTGGCACAGTGCTGGCTGTCCCACAGGTGCGGTGATCCATATCCACAGAACACTTTGAAACTGGGCCAGCATGGTCTCTCATGCCTGCAATGACTCTCAGAATACATGCACACGTGTGCACACACACACACACACACACACACACACACACACACGGAGCAGGTTGTGAGCACCATGGTGACACAACATCATCATACCCGGAGTATCTGAGTGAGCGGCGAAAACAGTTCTTTTTCTTTCTTTCTTTTCTTTCTTTTTTTTTTTTTTTTTTGTTTTAAGATTTATTGGAAAGTCAGATACAGAGAGGAAGATCTTCCATCCACTAATTCACTCCCCAAGTGGCCACAACGGCTGGAACTGAGCCGACCTGAGGCAAGGAGCCAAAATTTTCTTCTGAGTCTCCTGCGTGGGTACAGGGTCCCAAGGCTTTGGGTCATCCTCGACTGCTTTCCCAGACCACAAGCAGGGAGCTGGATGGGAAGTAGAGCTGCCGGCATTAGAACCAGTGCCCATGTGGGATTCTGTGTATGCAAGGCAAGTACTTTAGCTGCTATGCTACTGTGCCAGGCCCAAGAACAGTTCTTGGTGCTATGTTCTCTGTTGGTCTGGATCAATGCAGCAAGTTCCAAGGGAAGACAACAATGTCACACCAGACGTGGCTGCTGAAAGGTCTCAAATCCAGCCCTGAGGGTGGCAACATCCACACCGAACTATGCTGTGCTGTGTGACAGGGCCTGCGGGGATACGATGGGGGCCTCTGCTGCCTGGGCCAGCTTGTGGTAGGAGCACCCCCACAGGCACCCAGGACTGTGAACCCCAACCCTAGGACAAAGAGAAACCCAGGCTGTCTCTAGATTACGTGCTGTTTGACCCACAGCCCGTGCTCAGCTGCAGGCCTGCAGGCTCTCTCCTTCGCGCCAGTGAAGCAGAGCCAGGTAGAGGAGCCTGACCTGGGGAGGGGCTTTGGGGTAGCCCAGAGACTCCACTGCCCATGGTGCTAGCTGTTCCCAGCTGCCCATGCCCTTTTTCCTGTCCAGTGGCTCAAGATCCACAAGCTCATCCTGCCTCTCCTCCCTTGGCTCACACTTCCAGACAGATAAGAAAGCAGTATAAAGTGCGGAGCAGGGGGATGCATCTGGTCAACCCTAGCTGAGGCAGGCCTGGTCTTGACCTGGCCTAGGGCAGCTATTAGCCATGGCTATTAAGGAGGCAGCAGAGAGGGAGCGGCCTTGGGGACTTGCCCAGGTCTCAGGACCTAGGTGGTCCCCTGATTGGCTTCAGGAAATCCTAGCTGTGTGACATATCTGCCATTATACAGCACTGGGTCCTTGGCATCCCCCACCCGCACTGAGCCCACCTGCTAAGCCTGGGAGTCAGACGCATACACCTGGAAAACCCAGGGAAGCCCCAGCCAGTGTGATGCCAACTGGCTAATCTACCTGCAAGTGCTAGCATTCCATAGTGATACCAGTAAGTATCTCCAACTGCTCCACTTTCCATCCAACTCCCTGCCTGCAGCCTGAGAAAGCAGTGAAGGCTGGCCCAAAGCTTTGGGTCCCTGTACCTATGCAGAAGACCCAGAAGAAACTCCTGGCTCCTGATCAGCTCAGCTCTAACCATTGTGGCCATTGAGAGAGTAAAACAGCAGATGAAATCTCTCTTTCTCTCTCTGTCTCCCCCTCTCTTTGTAAATATGCTTTTTCTACTAAAAAGTAAATAACAAATCTTAGAAAAAAAACTGGCGAAGCCATCTGGGGACAGGGTGGGGGGCGGGCAGCAAGTGGTCAATGGGCTACCCTGCCATGGAGGTCTCAAGCTGTGGCTCAGCGGCCAGGGCCTCAGGGTCCTCTGTACCATGCAGGGGTAGGGGCTGCAGCCTGGGGGGTCTCTGGGCCTACTCTTCTGGGGCCTGCCCTTAGCCCAGAATGGTCCTGGATTACGATCACTGCTGTGTGATGAAGCCAGCTATCAGAATTCCTGCAACCCAGAGCCACGTGCCTCTGGAAGGGCTGATCCCTCTTGCCAGGATGCTGAGCACCAACAAAGGGCCCTCTGCGGGTTCCAGGTCTGATGGTGCTTATCCCCTTCCCCCACTCCTGCCACTGGGTAGCAGCCCCATTCTGGAAGGTTCCTCATTGGGTGAACTCATCTGGGACTCTGAACTCCCAGGGCGCTGCAGCCCCTGTGGACCAGGCACTCCTGCACTTCCCACGCCTGTGTTTACATGTGCAGTTCCTGAGAAGGCCTGCCCGGTCCAACTCCTCAAGCCCTGACGCCCAGACGCCAAAGTCAGACTGTAAGTCACGGGGTCCTGGGGCAGAGGGAGGAGCTGAAGGGAGGCACTGCAGGTGTCCATGCATGGTAACAATCCACCCAGCGTGTCTTGGCCATTTACCACTCCTGGAGCTGACTGTGGGCACTCCTGCCGCCCCTGCCACTGCAGGAGCAGTGGGAAAGGCAGCTGGGTGGCAGAACCATGCGGCTGCCAGCAGCCTCTCTGGGCCCTGGGTTTGTATAGCATGTGTGTATGTCTGGGGCAGGAACTCCTTGACAGTTAACAGAAGCGATCCCAAGCCACCTTCAGACTAAGGCATCGGAGGTCTGGAGCCAGCATGCTAGCTGTGGTGAGCGCTCCCTCTGATATTGACTGCAGCTTGGGGGCTGGGCGGGGGTGGGGGGAGGAAGGGAACTGGGCAGACATTCTTGGCTCCCCCTTGGATCACTCTGACTTCTGCCTATAAGCCCCCTTAGTGGGGCGAGGAGCAGGTAGAGTGTTTGAATGAGTGCTTGGGAGAGGAGAGTTCCAAAGACCATTGTTGGGAAGCAGCCAGGGCCCCACAGAAAGGTTTCCAGGCCACAGCATTGCTGGGGACCGAGGAAGAGAAGGAGACCCTGAGTAGTGGGAGACCACAGAAAGGTGGCCAGCTGGGGAACTGGGATGGGAAAGCAGCGTGTCCCCTCTGGCCCCGTGGCCTGCCAGGGTTCCTAGGGTGCCTGCGGACCTGTAGCTGAAATACTGAGCAGGTAGCATGCAGGCTGCGGGGACATAGTGACCAGAACTTGGGCTGAAGGCAGCAGGCTGAAGAGCACAGTCCCTTTGACTTTTTCCTGTTAGGTGTTTTCTCTCGGCAGGATGGGTGACAGTGAGATAAAGTTGCAGCTGGGAGCAGAGTCAGCCGGCCACCAGGAGTGTGGGGACGGGCTTCGGGGGTCAGTGGAGTCCTGGTCCTGCACAACACCACCCCGTGCAGGCTTGGCAGGTGCTATTGGGTTGGGGCTAAGGGACAGCGCCAGCCACCAGCTCGCAGGGCTGACCCAGGGGACAGCAGGGTCCCAGGGCAACTTGTGGGTTTGGGGCTCTGTTGTCAGTCTGCAGGTTCTGACAGAGCGGTCCTTGCTCTCTGTGGTTGGTGAAGGGCGCCACTGTGGCGTGTGGCGTGGCTCTCAGACCTGCTGGAGGCTGGGGTGGGTGGGTGGGAGGAGCCAGAGGAGGAGCCTGGCAGAAGTGGGGGAATCGCCTGGGGTATTTAGATTTGAACCAGCCAGTCCCCTAAGACAGAGACCACACGCAGACTTCCAGATGGTGCTGTGCTGTTCCTGGCCATTCTGCTGCCTCTCCCCACCACCCCTGTGATCCTACAAGGTAGGTGCAGATGGCCACAATGAGGGTATGACCTGAAGGGGACACTGTGGGTAGCTAGTCCCAGAACTGGAGAGGATATGTCACCTATCTGAAGGTCTCAGCAGATGCTGATATTTAAAATGAAGGGCTCACATGTGATCACACCCCTGAGATGGAGCTGGTTGCTTGCCTCTCACCTGCAGGCCAGGGTCCCACAAAAGTGACTCCTGGTCTCCTCTCTCCCCTTCCTCCCACAGCATCAGCTCTGCCTGCATCACTCCACCCTCCCTGTGCACCTGTCCCCAAGGGGGTGTCCAAAGCCCCCTATGCTCTGCAATGACAGTGACGGCCAGGTGGTCCCTGAGGACTTGAACCTGACCGATGAAGAGCTGAGACTCAAGTATCTGGGGCCACAGCATTCGGAGCTGTTTGTGCCCATCTGTGCCATGTACCTGCTGATCTTCGCAGTGGGGGCTGTGGGCAACGGGCTGACCTGCCTGGTCATCCTGCGCCAGGCGGCCATGCGCACGCCCACCAACTGCTACCTCTTCAGCCTGGCTGTGTCGGACCTGCTGGTGCTGCTGGTAGGCCTGCCCCTGGAGCTCTATGAGATGTGGTGCAACTACCCCTTCCTGCTGGGCACCAGTGGCTGCTACTTTCGCACGCTGCTCTTCGAGACGGTCTGCCTGGCCTCCGTGCTCAATGTCACAGCCCTGAGCGTAGAACGCTATGTGGCCGTGGTGCACCCGCTCCGGGCCAGGTCTGCAGTGACACGTGTTCACGTGCGCCGTGTGCTTGGGGGTCTCTGGAGCCTGGCCGTTCTCTGCTCCCTGCCCAACACCAGCCTGCATGGCGTCCGGCAGTTACAGGTGCCCTGCAGGGGCCCTGTGCCCGATTCAGCCATGTGTGTGCTGGTGCGCCCCCGGGCCCTCTACAACGTGGTGGTGCAGACCACTGCCCTGCTCTTCTTTTGCCTGCCCATGACCATCATCAGTGTACTTTACCTGCTCATCGGGCTGCAGCTGCGCCGGGAGAGGCTGCTGCCATCCACCAGGCCAGGCACCACTGCCATGTCCAGGGCCAGTAACACCCGAAGGCTCCAGCTGCAGAACCGGGGCCGGAGACAGGTGATCAAGATGCTGTGTAAGTGTTACTGTGGGGAGGAGGCGGCTGAAAAAAGCTTGGGTATGGGGGGGGGCTCGGGTCTGGGGTTATGGGGTTTGGAGGAACTCTGCTCCCCACCCCCACCTCCTGTCGTGTTTGTGCTCCCATGTGTGGGGGTTGGCATCTTAGATTTCCCAGTCAGCAGCTTTTTACTAAAGATAAGGGTGGCTCAATTGCAAAATGAAGACTCAGGGTCCTTTATTCAGAAATCAGAGTGAAGACAGCAGCAGCAGCAATGTGTTAAAGCAAGCTGGGGCCCCTTCCAAGCTTGTGACCACCCAGCTGGGGGAAGCCAGTGATGAGAAGGGCAAGGAGCTGGGCTGAGGTGGACAGAGCCAGAGCCCAAACCCTCCAGCCCTGTCTCTGCATCTCTAAACAGGACCTGGCCCTATTCTTCCCACGGTGACCTACCGTGCATTGGCCACTGGCACTGCATCCACTGTCCTGGGAAACAGGCCTGGCCCCGCCAAGGTCACTGGAAAGTCCCAGAGAAGTGCTGCAAGCCAGCAGGGTGGGATGGGGGTAGGAGTGGGGCTGAGGTCCTGACTCTACCCAGGCCAGAGTGGCAGCATGCTTGAGGGAGTCCCCAGGGGAATCTAAAGGGGGCGGGTCTCCAAACGAGCGGCAGGAAAGGACTGAGGAGGCAGGGGCTGGCTGGCTGGGGACACTTGTAAAGCCACATCCTGCTTGCATCCAGGGCTGTGAGCCAAACCTCGCTAGGTGGGGAGGAGGAGGACGCTGCAGGGGAGAGGCGAAGGCAGGACACAAACAGCAGGGACTAATCGGCTTTTAGGGGCAGAGACTCAGGGAGAGCTGGCTTGTGGAGACCCCAGTAGGTAGGAGAGAATCCGGGAGGAGGGCTTGACCAGCCAGCCTAGCCTGTCTCTGGCTGCTCAGCTGGGCCTTAAGAATTGAGGTTGGAGCTGGGGACCAAGCCTAGGCAGGGTAGTGTATGGAGAGTGGTGTGTGTGTGTGTCTCCCCGTCTGTTGTTTTGAACACTTGCCCCATTCCTCAACTTTTCTATATATACACAGCAACAGGCACGACCTCCAAAGTGGGCCCTACCCTCCCACCCCATCATTCCAGATTCTCTGGCAGAGAATCTGATTGGACCAGCAGGGCTCAGGTGTCCATGTCCGCTCCAGTTGGCTGTAGTCAGGGCAGGGGTGTGTAACTTTCAGTGAAGCTGATGACAGGGCATAAGAGGACTCTTTCTGAAACATGTAGCTGGGACAAGGAAACTTCTGGAAACTTCCAGTTGGTGCAGGATGCAGATGGCCCGTGAGATGGGAGGCCATAAGGATGGGTCAAATGAACTCCATGGGAGGCAAGGAGGAGGCTCAGTGCCCAGCTCTGCCCTCTTTGCCCCTGCAGTTGTGCTGGTCATGGTGTTCGGCGTGTGTTGGGCCCCATTCCATGCTGACCGGCTCATGTGGAGCTTCGTGGCCCAGTGGACAGAGGAACTGCTCCTGGCCTTCCAGTACTTACATGTCATCTCCGGCATCTTCTTCTACCTTGGCTCAGCTGCCAACCCTGTGCTCTACAGCATCATGTCCAGCCGCTTCCGGGAGGCCTTTCGAGAAGCCCTGGGCCTGGGGGCCTGGTGCTCCCGCCACCAACGACAGCGTGGCTCCCGCAGCTTCAGCCGAGGGACTATGGGCAGCACCCTGTACGATCTGGGCTGCCCAGCTGGCAGGGTCCCCCTGGCCGGAGGCGAGGGTCTGGAGAAGCAGCAGGAGACTGACCTGGCCAGAGTGCACCTAGAAGTAGCTTCCCCCTGCCAGGGGTGGGAGAGGGGAGCTGGAAAACCTCCCTTTTCAGCCTAGAAACCAGGTTCCAATCCCAGCCCCATTTGCATCAAGTAAACTGTACTTCCCCCACGTTTCTGGGCCTCAGCTGCAAATGAAGCCTCCCACCCCACCCCTGGCACCAGCCATCCCTTGTGCCTGCAGCAGCAGTCTCCCCGCCTGTGTGTCTGTAAGTCACTGTTTGTTCCAACACTGACCGATGCTGTTGGATGAGCAGGGTGCCCAGGACTCACTGCTACGTGTACTTGGCGTGTTCTCTTCCCACAAGGATTTGTGCCCGTGGTCCTTCTCACAAGTCCGTTTCTCATCTTTGTCCCAGCACATGTCCTGTGTTTTATCCAAGTTCAAGGTGGCTAGTATTTACCTCACGGAGTCCACTCTGATGGGCCTTGGCTAGCCCTGGGACTCATATACACCACAATGAGGTGGGAGTGGGGGTCCCCAGGGCCTAGTTCAGGAAGGCCCAGCTTACCTGCAGAGGCTGGGGTGGGGGGCTCTGGAGACTGTGAAATCATGGACACTTAACAAAGTGTCCAATTCTGGGCAAAGCATGAAGACATGAGGTTCCTGGAGCTCATGGTCTGGGGAGTTGGGGGGCTTGTCTCACCTCACAGTGGGCACATATGTGAGAGGGAGACATCATGCAGTAAGACAGGGAGTGGGGTTCCAGAATAACTCATTAGCCCTCTTGCCCCACAGACTTCCCACCTGGCCTCACCAGCTGTTCAATAAACCTAGCCTCCAATACGGGACTGGGGAGGGGCACTCAGCCACGGGTGCGCCTGCATGGGCCCTGGGAAAAGTCTGTATTTCCTGGGAAGTTCAGGAGTGAGCCTCACCACCCACAGAGCTGTATCTGCTGTCTGCCTTCGGCCATGCGTGTGCTCAGGGACACGTGACGTGTTCCACCTCTGCTCTCTGTGTGGCTGGTGGCCTACCCCATCACTCGTGGCATGCCTCTCAGGGTCTGCCCAGTCCTGTTCCCATCCTGGAACGGAACAGAGGCTTCCTGCGTCCCTAGGCTCCATGTCCCCCATGGCACATGCCCTGGGCTTTGCCCACACAGAGCCTGCATCTGGAGTGAGTGACATTAAGACACATGGGCTGTGCATGGCCAGGGCAGTGCTTTTTCTGCCTTTGTCTCAGTCACCTCTTCTGGGCTCCCTGTTTGGAGTGACCCAGAGCTCTCCTTTGAAGAAACTCCTTTTCTAGGCCTGGCACATTGAATTAATGGCTAAATTCTCGCCTTACATCCGCTGGGATCCCATATGGGCGCCAGCTGGTGTCCTGGGCGCTCCACTTCCCATCCAGCTTCCTGCTTATGGCCTGGAAAAGCAGTCAAGGACAGTCCAAAGCCTTGGATCCCTGTACCTGCGTGCGAGACCCAGAAGAGGCTCCGGACTCCTGGCTTCAGATCAGCTTAGCTCTGGTCCTTGCGTCTGCTTGGACAGTGAATCAGTAAACTGAAGATCTTCCTCTCTGTTTCTCCTCCTGTCTATCTGACTTTCTAATTAAAATTAAATAAATCTTTAAAAAAAAAGTCTCACTTACAGTCTGTAATACTTCACAATCAGTCCCATTCTCTTCTCTCTTCCTTTTTTTTTTTTTTAAAGATTTATTTTTATTATTTTGTTATTGGAAAGGCGGATGTACAGAGAGGAGAGACAGAGAGGAAGATCTTCCATCCGATGATTCACTCCCCAAGTGAGCGCAACGGGTCGATACTATGCCGATCCGAAGCCAGGAGCCTCTTCCGGGTCTCCCACGCGGGTGCAGGTTCCCAAAGCTTTGGGCCGTCCTCGACTGCTTTCCCAGGCCACAGGCAGGGAGCTGGAAGGGAAGCGGGGCTGCCGGGATTAGAACCGGCGCCCATATGGGATCCCGGGCGTGCAAGGCGAGGACCTTTAACCACTTGCGCCACCGCGCCGGGCCCTCTCTTCCTTTTTAAATGGCAGGAAAACGTTTTTTTAAGAGGCAGGAAAAATGAGGACAGGTTTAATAAATTTGATCCTACACACTCTTTTTTTGGAAGAGTTTAACTCTGGGACAGAAGAAAAGAACCCCAGGGTGCTTCCCGTGCTTTCCAGCGGCAGGTGCCACGCAGGGAGTCTGGCTGAGGCTGCCCAGCAGGGACTCAGCTGCAGGGCAGACTAATCGCCCTACAGCAACCTCAGCCCAAAGGCAGACCTGACAGATGTTGACCTTTCTTTTCCTGCCTCATTCCCCCACTGTCTTTCTTTCAAAGATGCATTTATTTGAAAGACTTGCCCAGAGAGAGGAAGCAACAGACAGGGAGATCTTCCATCCACTGGCTCATCTCTCAGAAGGCTGCAAATGCCAGAGCTGAACCAGGTCAAAGCTGGGAGCCTGGTACTGTGGCCAGGGTCATGCATGTGGATGCCAGGGCCAAACTGCCTGGACAAACCTCTGCTGCTTTCCCAGGCACATTAGCCAGAAGCTGGAATGGAAGTGGAACAGCCAGGATTATGGGGTGCTGGTGTAACAGGTGGCGGCTTGACCACTTCCCTGCAATGTAGACCCCAGTCTTGGCTCTTCTGAAGGAAATACGTGCAATCCCCCTGCACATAGGAGACCAGAGGCCAACCCTGGAGGGCTCAGCTGCAGTCTCCACAGTGTCTGGGTGTCTGAGCCCATGAGGTCCAGCCTCGACATCTAAGGCAAATGTGCCTTTATTTGGCCTCTTTAAAGCAATTCCCAGCCTCACTCTCTTCTAAGCTTTTGCACAGGGCTGGGCAAGGATAGAAGCTGAGGCCCTGTGGAGCAGTGGGGAAGTAAGGAAGGCTGCACCTGCTGGGTGACAGTACCTGTGGGAGCTGCAGCCACGTTAACATGGAGCATCTTTGAGAGGATCCCGGGCCTTTTAAGTCCAACACTAAGTCCCTTCATGGGCAGCAGGACACATAGGCATGGTTGAGCTAGCCTCTGCTGCACACTGACCACGTGGTGGGCACCATGCTGGGCAGGGGGTAGGGACACATCAACACAATGACACAGCAAGGCCCCGTAGGGCTCATGAAGTCCACAGCAAGGGCTCTAGCTGGAGCAGCCCAGGGTGTCTGTAACAATAAGAAGGAATCCAGGGAAGAGGGGACCCCTTGAGGGAGGGGGCTACAGGAGGGGGACTGGACGCTGGGCAGGAAAAGTCACCAGCAAATCCTGCTGTGGGCCATGCACACAGCTGCTGCCCTGCAAGCCCTTGGCCGTCCTGCTGGAGTTAGGGTCCAGAACCTTTCCTCCAGCCAATCTCCCTTCCTGTGAGATCTGAATAGGCAAGATTTCTTCTGTTTTCAATTTAGGAAATCTGAGGATAGGGTGGGGGTAGGATGAAAAGCACAAACACTAGAGAGAATTATTTGTGTTCCCGACACCCAGATGGACCACTGTGGAATTTTGGTTGTCGATGACCGCCATTTTGCACTTAGAAATGAGCAGACTGTTTCCAAGTGGTTGTGGGTCTGATGGCTCATCTTCTCCAAACCCACGAAATATGGCTGGGGCTGCTGCCTACAGCGCTGGCTGCCCACAGCGCTGGCTGCCCATTTCAGAGTGCCCCTCTGTGTCCCAGCTGCTCCACTTCTGACCCAGCTTCTCTGCTAATGCTCCTGGGGAAGCAGCAAAAGATATCCCAAGTGCTGGGGCCCTGGCAGACACGTGGGAGACCTAGATGCAGCTCCAAGTTCCTGGCTCCAGCCTGGCCCAACCCTGGCTGCTGTGGCCATTTGGGAATTAAACATGCAGTTGGAAGATCTCTGTCTCTCTCTCTCTCTCTTTTTCCCTTCCTCTCTCCTTCTGTCACCCTGCCTTAAAAAAAAAGAAAGAAAGAAAGAAAGAAAGAAAGAAAGAAAGAAAGAAAGAAAGAAAGAAAGAAAGAAAGAAAGAAAGAAAATGTGGTAGCCATATGACAGCGTGACAGGGTGAGAGATGGGGTGTTTAAGAGGTAATTCTTTCCCAGGAGTCAAGCTCTTAGTCTATGGCAGAGTTCATTCCTGAGATTGGATTAGTCACAGGAAGGAGTGGTTGATTTCAGGGCCATTTCCTCACCTGCTCACCCTGCCATGTGGAAGCGGTCCTGGGCCAAATCCAGAATATAAGCAAGTTCTACAGAACGCACACCCTGGGCCCCTGGTATATCTTCAGAAGGACTCCAGAAGGGTTGATGGTTGACCTCGCAGCTAAAGCCCTGCTTAGGACAGTTGTTTCACAGGGCAGTGCCTGGGTTCAATGCCAGCTCCAGCTACCCGTTCTGACAGATCCTGGGAGGCAGCACTCCTGCCACTCACACGGGAAGCCTACTCCTGGCTCCCAGCTGTGACCCAACCCTGGCTGCTGGGAGTAAACGAGCAGATGACAGATACAGCATTAATCAGTACATAAACATACTTTTTAGAAATCATGCACTCAAACAATAAGTCATTTTAAAAAAAGAGAGATGGGCCCGGCAGTGTGGTCTAGTGGCTAAGGTCCTTGCCTTGAACGTGCCCGGGATCCCATATGGGCGCCAGTTCTAATCCTGGCAGCCCTGCTTCCCAGGGAGCCCTGCTCCCTGCTTGTGACCTGGGAAAGCAGTCAAGGACAGCCCAAAGCCTTGGGACCCTGCACCCATGTGGGAGACCTGGAGGAAGTTCCTGACTCCTGGCTTCGGATCAGTGCAGCACCGGCTGTTGCGCTCACTTGGGGAGTGAATCATCGGACAGAAGATCTTCCTCTCTATCTCTCCTCCCTCTCTGTATATCTGATGTTGTAATAAAAATAAATAATTCTTTAAAAAAATAATTAAAAAATTTAAAAAGAGAGAAAAAATAAAAATTTATGAAGGGTACACATTATGGAACAAGGATTAAAGCCACCAATGACAACACCATCACCCCATACTGGAGTGCTAGTTTTAGCTAGTTTCTCTGCTTCCAATGCAGCTCCCTGCTAGTGCACCTGGGAAGGCAGTGGAGGATGACCCAAATGTCTGGTCCCTGCTACCCACGCAGCTTCAGCCTAGTCCAGTCCTGCCTTTTGAGGCCATTTGGGAGGTAAACCAGTGAATACATCTTTTTCTCTCTCCCTTTCTGCAATGTCCAAATCAATCAATAAATCTTTAAAAGAAACCGCCCCCAAGATTTAAGACATATCAAATATCATCCTAATTCAAACCAATCAACAGAAAAAGATGTTTCTGAAACAAAACAATAATGACAAAAAGTGAATACAGGCAAGATA